GCTTTAATGATTTTCTGAATTGAGTAGGCATCTGTATATTTTTTCCTCCTATAAACTCAACCTGTCTTGATAGTACAAATCAGGAGCCATCAGCTGTCAGAAAAGGTAAACACTAAGTTCATTGTTTGGTCCCCCCTTTTCCTAACCAAGACATCAAGAGTTCTAAAAGCTTATCCCCAGAGGTGATATGAGAGGTGGACCTTTCAATAGTCCTCTCTATTCCCTTCACTGGAGTTTTAACTGAGTGTTGGTGCCATGTGAAATGAATGTGCTGGCTTCCCCTCTCTCAGACTTAAAAGCCCACATGCTTGATTCCTAATAAACAGGCCCTTCTTACCCTGACTTCAAGAAGCACCTGAGCCCTTGGTCATGGAATCTTGGCATAGCTGGAATAAATCTGCTGGAATGACAGGTCTTGCCTTTACCCTAAGGATGGAACTGCATACTGCACATATTTTCATGCATCCTTTTTGAATCTTTAAAAAAATAAACAAAAACCAGGAAATTCACTAACACTACACTTTGAAGAAAACTAAGAGAAGGGAGGGCACTTGGAAATTGAAGGAATGTTACTTGCAGGTTTTTCCTTACAAAGTTTGTAGAGTGTAGTGTTGCTGCTTTATGACTTATGTTATCTCTATCTTAAGTTTTACTTGGCAAGGTCCAAAAAAATAACAATTTCCCCCTTACTAGGTGTCATTAGGAACATTAAAGATTATTTGGGAGGGGGGGATTGGCAGGAGGCACTCTAGACCACTTGAAGGCCCAGCCCAAAACTAGCTCCTGTATTTGTATTTAAATTATATAAGTTAATATCAAAATTGTACATATACATTAGACTTGGTTGATTAAAAAAATGGTTCAAAACTCGTTTTGGATGTATGGGGCCCTGGTCATTCGATTCTAAAGTCACTTCCGATTTAAAAAAAACAAAATAAAAACTTTCAGAAACTTCCGAATTGCTTTGTTAATGGCAGACACGCATGTGCAGTAGGAAAAAAACAACACTAGCACTTGGGAAAATTTAGGGGATTCTCTTTCCCTCAATTCTAGACCAATCCTGATGAAACTTGCTATAGTGGTAGAGCACATGGACCACTATTATCTCACCAAATTTCATTATCTTTTACTTATCCATGGAGTTTTGGCAAATTTTCAAAGTTTTTTTATATAAAAAACATTTTTTAAATAATAAAGAAAATCTGTTCCTGGTTTGAAGGGGTTATTTCCTGTTTCATTGGGTGGTCTTTACTTTGAAAGTAGTTGTTTTACCCCAGAAACATTGTTTGTGTGGCACAAACTATGTTAAATTGATGGAGAAGAGAAATCATAGTACAGACCCCATCAAGGGGCATCTACACTGACCCCCTTCTTCTGAGCAGAAAGGCACCATCCAAACTCCCCTGGAATCCATTTGCTTCCTCTACTGAGTTAGAGGAGACCCTCAAGACACATCCATTCATTTATTCCTATTTGCAGATGCAATCAATCATTTTATTTTATTACTTACTGACATAAAGGGCTGGCTGGCTACCCCAGTGCCTTATTCATGGCAATCAGACCAAAGTGAAATGATTGGTTTTTAAGCAGTTTATGTTCTCTTGGCTTTGCAAAAGTTGCTTATTGCTTTGCTGCCTTTAGACACCTTTGAAGATTCAATCAGTTTATTTTATATTTAGACAAAGACTGCTACAGACAGCTAGAGTATTTTTGGGTCCTTCAGCCATTTTGGCTAATGAGCAGCCGGGCAGTATGGGAAATGTAGTTTAACAGCAGAGGCTTTTGCAGACTTTACCATTGGTGGACGGACCTTCACAAACTACAACAATGGCTGTGCTTAGCCATGTACACCTCATCCCTTCCTTGCATTGCTGGGGGAGGGAAAGAATGAGATTTTTAGGCTTTACCAAACTTTTTAGGCTTTACCAAAGTTGCTTAATGGTTGTGAAAATTAAAATAACCTTAAAAAAGGTAAGTGGTTCAAATTTGGATTCCCCCCCCCCCCCCCCCCCGCCGCTACCTTTCCTGCATGGTTCAAAACTGCTTTGGAAGCCCAAATCCATATGTTTTCTTTTGACTTTCAGGCTCTTCCAAATGAGCCTATCAAACTCTAATATGCACATGCATTAAGGCATGATGATTTTATGCATAATTGTCCTGAAAACTTTAAAGGTACCAGATCCCAACTGAACTTGAAAGCTAAGCCAAGTCAGCTCTAGTTAATATTTGAATAGGAGAATACCAATGAAAACTAAGTGCTGTAAGCTAAATTTCAGAAGAAGGAATTGGCAAAAACACCTCTTAAGTATTCCTTGCCTAAGAAAACTCTGTAAAAATTTACAGGGTTGCCATAAGTCAACAGGCAACTTGAAAACACATACATAATTTTCTGAAAATTGATGTACTTTTGCCTTTTGGTGTTGTTTTGCCTCCTTGCAGGGAGGCAACAAATAGCCAGTCTAAGCAAAAACTTTTTGTAACATAATCCCAAAACATAAGCTATTTTAAAACAACATACAATCTCCTCCATCACTCTAACCCAGGAGTCCCCAAACTTTTTAAACAGAGGGCCAGGTCACAGTCCCTCAAACTGTTGAAGGGCTGGATTATAATTTGAAAAAAAATGAATTAATTCCTATGCACGCTGCACATATCTTATTTGTAGTGTAAAAAACACTTAAAAACAATAAAATAATTAAAATGAGGAACAATGTTAACAAATATAACCTTATTAGTATTTCAATGGGAAGTGTGGTCCTGCTTTTGGCTGATGAGATAGGATTGTTGTTGTTGTTATGTGCTTTCAAGTAATTTCAGACTTAGGTTGACCCTGAGTGAGGGCTGGGTAAATGACCTTGGAGGGCCGCATCCGGCCCCCGGGCCTTAGTTTGAGGACCCCTGCTCTAACCCCTACCTCTTCAGCTTTTATTTGCCAAGTGGAACTCTTTTTTTGTTTTTCCCATGATAAAATAAATGATACTTTCATGCTTAGAAGTGGAGCATCTCTGGATAATAGTAACAAGTGGGGCATGGCAATGAAATCAATGCCATCTGTGAGCTTCCCACTGGAGATGGCAAACTGAGAAAGAATGCTTGAGTTTTGCTGTGAACCAGCAGAGGCAATCCCACACAATAATTGTAAACTGAATTGAAATTATTAGGTTTGCTTCCAGCTAGTGGTGTTTAGGAGTCTGCTACTAGAATGTGGTAGGGAGCTATGGAACCTATAGTCCTCAGATAAATTTAAGAACCTCTTAAGTCCTTGTGAGGGTCTTGAATTCATACCCTACCATTCATTCCTAAGGAGCAAAATGAAGCATTCTACTTCAAGTATGGCATGGCAATTAGAGGTGCACAAATGTCTCTCTTTCATATGAATATATTTTCTCCCTGGAAACATGTTTATGCTGCCCTATTTATAAAGAGTCTTCTTTCTTTGCTATTTTCCCAATTGAGGGGTTATCACTGTGACTGTCGTTTCCATAGGACTTTGTTTTGGGCATTCTTGGGTCTCAGTTTTGCAGCACGCATGTCTTCATTGATGGTGTGTATCCATCTTTTCTTTGGTCATCCACGTAGTCATCATCCTGCAATCTCCAAATGTAGCATTGTTTGTACTACTGTTCATACCCATTTTCAAATGCATGAAAACATCTATATCTATGTATTGTTTCTAATGCACACTATTTTTTGCAAGGAATTTTCTTTAACATATTATTTTGTGTACATATTCCTACACTGTGCATATTTTTTTATTGGACATGTCCATTACAACATTCAGTGACAAGGTGGGAGTGAAAGATAATTGTATTCAAATTCATGTATTATCTCCAGAAGTGTGGAGATATGTGGAGAGGTGGCCTCTCCACAAAAGTCAACATTGACACTGAAATACAACACCGCCTGAGCTCTGCGAGTGCAGCTTTTTTCTGAATGAAGCCGAGAGTGTTTGAGGACCAGGATATTGAAGCTAATCTAATGCACTGGGTTGAGGAATGAATTCTACAGCACTATAGTACATAGTCCCACTTTCTTCCAATCACAAGGTTTCTTTCAATACATACAGTTATACTTTGTTCTGCATAATGGTGGGCTCTTTGCTATCCCAACAGTAACACTTGGAAGCATTTATGTAGCTGGCTACATGTTCAGAACCTTTTATGCTCATTTTGCTAAAGCATTTAGAACATGACATACTTATAAGTGCCTTGCATGGTAAACTTAGCGGTATCTTGTTGCAGAGTACAGTAATCCCTCGCTACTTTGTGGTTCACTTTTTGTGGACTTGCCATTTCTTGTTTTTTAAAATAAATATTAATGTAAAATATTTATCGCAGTATTTTCGCTGTTTTGCGGGTTTTTGCGGTACTCAGTAAAACAACAATCTTGTGCACAGCTACTCCTCTCCACTCTTCCATTTCACATTAGCACCGGACTATTGCATGTGAGTAGTAGGACTAAGGCCAAGCAACTTTATGATCGCATGGCAGAGAAAATGGAGGACCAAGATGGTGGCGAACAAGAAGAGAATGACGATGACTATGATGAAGGGTTATGTTCAAGGAGGGTTATGTAGTGTATAAGTGTGTGGGGAGGGTTTATAAAGACTTAAAATAGTGTATAACTTCTAAAATAATGTATAAATATTAAAATAAATATAGCATCCCTACTTTGCAGATTTTCACTTTTTGCGGGTGGTCTTGGAACGTAACACCTGCGATAAGTGAGGGAACACTGTATTCCTCTCATCCTTATCTCATTTGTGGTGTAAATGATGCCACCAACAGTGATTTGGAAGAGTAGCGCTGGCCATTTTCAAAAGGTTCATCTATTACTGCTTCCACCTTCTGTAAAGCCCAATAGCTACTTGGGAAAAGAGGAAGTGAGAACCTTAATTTAACATTATTAATGTGGATGAACAAACACATTTTTAAGAACTGGGCATTCAAAGCCATCTTCCCAGATAGAACAAACTGTTAGCCATTTTCTCTCATACTTAGTACTTTTTCTTTTATCTTTTAATGATTTTGAGTTCTTCCCAGCACATTTATGGTTAAAAAATGTGAATTTTGCAAAGTTCATATCAAAAAGAAGGAAAATCATCAGATTTGTAGGTTCTACTAAATCCTGCTAAGGCTGGTTTATTTCTTATGGCTGCCAAATAGAGACCAATTCACTTTGCCTGACGTAATGATTCTTAGTTTATAGGTTGAGGATCCTTGATCAAGAATTCCAAAATCTGAGATTCTCTAGAACTGTCCATATGAATGTATAAAATAGTAAAACCTTTGCTTTCCAATGGTTCAATATACACACATTTTGTTTTGTGCACAAAATTATTTAAAATATTGTATGAAATTACTTTCAGGCTATGTGCAGAAGGTGTACATGAAGCATTACATGAATTGTGTGTTTACACTTAAGCCCCATCTCCAATTCTGGTCCCAAACATTTCAGATGAAGGATACTCAACCTGTACATGAAAAATTATTTAGGTGCTCGGTTCCTTATACAACTGGAGCATTTCTTTAAACTCTAGGATAACAGCTGCCACATCCAACAATTCAATGTTGCTTTCACATGGGGGTTGTAATATATCAGTAGAAAGAGTGGGAAGCAGGGAAGGCTCCAGTTAAAGAAAAGAATAAGGAAGGAATCTTTCAGTATATATGAGAACACTTCTATTGAATTCAGTGTGTGTTGAGTTGAGTCTGTTCCTGCATGGGGATGGCAACTGGTAGCTTCCATGTCAGTGGAGTGGTGAATCCTCTTAGCTTACTTTTAGTCCATGCTTTAAGGAAGTACCCAAAATGATGAAAACTGTCACTGTAATAGGTTCAGAACCCTGGATAGCTCCTTAAAACATCAACATCACACAAAAACCTAGAATGGTCCACTGATATGGAAGCCACCAACAGCCACTACTCCAGGGCACTCTTTAGCAACCAGAGCCCATTCACACTAAATAAATATAGCACCATGATTTCACTTTAGCTAATACATTTCTTTCCTGTGGAATCCTGGGATTTACTGTTTAGGGAGGGATATTTAGCCAGCATGGTGTAGTGGTTTGAACAATGGACCATACTCTGGAGAGCAGGATTTAGATCGCTACTCAGCCATGAAAACCCATTTGGTGACCTTGGGTAACTCACATGCTCTTAGCACCAGAAAACCCTGTGATATATTTTCCTTAGGATCACCATAAGTTGGAAACAACTTGCTGGTTGACAATAACAACAGCATTTAGAATTGCTCTAATGCCTCACCAAAACCCTCAATTCATAGAATCAGAGAATCTTAGATTTAGGAGATGGGGAGCCCTTTCCCCTGCTTTGAAAAGTATATTTAGCATATTTCACCTTACTTATGAAGCAATGAGCATTGTGTTACTTTTAGAAAAGTAACAGCTAATACAGGGTGAGGCAGCATGACTTCCTTTTTTCAAAACTTAATAAAACCCATTGTATGAATCAGAATTTTTTTATATATAATGTAGGCGCATACCTAAAGTTTTACATAGTTTTGAAGTTTTACATAGTTTTGAAGATCAAATTAGGTAGGTGACGTTCCCCATTCTCCATTCTCCATACACTGAGTAAACCGATTTCTTGCATTTGTCATGACTCTTGCTAGCATAGCAGGCGTTATGTTGGCAATTTCTTCCTGGATATTGGTCTTCAAATCTTGTAGGGTCCTTGGACGGTTTACATAAACACAGGATTTCAAAAAAAAAAACAACCCCATAGAAAAAAATCACAAGGGGCCAAATCTGGAGAGCGGGCCGGCCACTCCAAATCCACTCGAAAAGTAGGCCTCAACGGCAAAAGCACACTCCTCGCTGTTCCAACGCATGATGGCGACTGAACTGTGTCAGGACAAAACTTTATACTCCCGCCTCTCGAATGAGACCACTAGCACTCCTTGGTCACTTCCTGAAGAAAATATGATGAGGTCAAAATTCATTTCTGACTTATAACAGAACCTATCACCGTGTTTTATTGGCAAGACTGGTTACATTGCCTTTACCTTCCTCTGAGGCTGTCACTTGCCCAGGGTCACCCAGTGGTTTTCAATGGCCAAGCAGGGATTTGATCTCTCATCTCCAGAATCATGGTCCAATGTTGAAACCACTACACTATATTGGCTCTCTAGTACAACTTATTACAGAGCTTGGGGAAGTTCTTTTTTATGACATGCTAGCTGTGGGATACTGGAAGTTATTGCCCCACCACCACCGCCACCAAAAAAGAAGACTTGCAAGATCTGACCTATGTTTTGTTAGCTGCCCCATGAATCATTCCAATATGGGGAAGGGTATACATAAATCTAAATACACCCCAAATAAATATGAGTACTTAAGTTGTTCCAGAGTGACCCTAAGAACAATCCCACTTTGAAACATATTGTTTTCAATTTGTGTTGGTTTTTTTTAAAGTACTGGAAATCACTTTCCTTCTTCTTTCCTACAAGAGCAGGAAGCAATAGTGGAATGTTGCTAAGGTTAGCATGGGGTTAGAAGTGCATACACTCTCTTCCTCCAATCTCTAGGGTTGCAGTAAGCCATGTAAGAAGCTGTTGGATCAAGAATTATCCTTCTCACTTCATTCATGTGAATAGCAGACTACACACAATGATTGGAAATGCCAGGTGGTTGAAACTTTGCAGCAGAGTGCAATGAGAAATATTGTTCTGTGCTGGGCTGTGCTGTACTGTGTTGTCTTATTCAATACAGCCATACAATACCTGTCAGCACTTGCACAAATGATCTATTATCTTTGTACCAGTCAATGCCATGAAAAATTCCAGTCCCAATTTTGTACACTTTACAAAAAAAGAGAAAAATATCAGTTGAAATCAGAGTTTCTTCCAAGGTAGTAATATTGCTTTGGATAGTCCCCAGATCAGACCTTTATTTCCATATTTGGATATATTTGGCAGGAACTGGATCATTTTCTTCTGTCTTAGCTCTTAAATAGCAGATTTTTAATTATTCCCAAAGCAAAGAATCCATTAGACATGCCCGTCTCCATTTTCTTCCTGAACTGAACCATATATTGGAAATGTAACCCAAATATGACCCCATCTCTGGGAAGGCACTTTGCTACATAAGTACAGCTGCTAAATGTCCACAGAGATTACAGTAATGGCAAATGTACAGCTTAAGCTGTAGTGAAAAATGTCACTCATAGAAAATAAATGAGAGAAGGATTATAGCAGCTTTTAACATTTAGTGACCTTCCCCCACCCCTCAAAAAAAAACTCAAACAAAATCCTAGTATCTTCAGTTGGAGTCTGCATGATATAAGTTATTTGCACTTCAGGTTTGCTATAGCTAGTGCTGGTTGCCTTCCAGCTTGCTTTCTAAGAGACTTACGTCTTCAGCTAATTCTGTAACTTTGGCCTGGCAATCCAACAAATTGTCTTTGAGCACAGTCAATTCCTGAGAGTGGGCAATTAAGGTTTCGTTTATATGGTCCATGTAGCCCCACATACTTCCTGCATTATTCTCGAGCTCACTTTTGATGTGGTCTAGGCTTCCAGTTACAGTACCTAGTCTGCCACACATGTCCTCCACTTGGGCCACACGGTCATCAAACTGAAGTACTTCCTTCTGTAGATTGTGAGCCACACTCCTGCAGTTGCTCAAGTCATTGGTGATTCTGGACTTGAGTCTTTCAAGGTCTCCTTTTAGGTTGAGGACTCGCCTGTTACTGAACAGAAGTTGGGACCCTTGGTCATTGATCTTCTCTTGAATTGAGTGCACCTCATCTTCTATCTTCCGCTCACGTTCATCCACAGATGAGTTGACATGCAGCACTGTGTCAGAATATTGGGAAACAGAATCCTTTAACCCAGTTATAGATTTACTCATGGTGTTCAGGTTGATTTTCAGAAGGGTGATCTCACCTTGCAAGGATCCTGTTGCTTCCACCTCAATCCGTCTCTGAATCTCCAGGATGGTCGCATTGAGTTTCTGCAGCAGGTCAGAATTACTGTCCATTTTGAGCTGTAAATTCTGGTTCTTACTTTGACAGTCTTCAATCTCTGTACGAAAGATCTCTACATCTTTGGAAGTGGATGCACATCCTAGCAAGCATGTACTTTCCAAAGTCATCAATTGGCTCTGTATTACCTCAATTTTCTCATCTGTTTCTTTTTTAATGGTAGCAAGTTCAACCTCCAAGAGAGGTAGTACAGCTCCATCTATTCCAGTTGTGGAACTGATATTATTCATATCTCCAACCATGTTAATGAATCTCTCCTCCAAGACTCTAATTTTGTCTTCAAATAAAATTTTTGTGCCATCCAGCTCTGACCCCAGGAAACCTCTCATACTGTCTTCCATAGTGGAACAACAACTTCCTGTTTCCCTTTCAGTGATATTCAGCCTGGTTTCAAGGTCCTCAAAACGTCCTTCAAAGAGGTTCCCCAAGGTTACAGTGGACAGATCATTGTCCATCCGGGAGTGTAGGTTCTTCTGAGACTCAGAGATGCTGTGCAAGCCTTTCTCCAAGATATCCATCCGTTTAGTGAGGTAGTTCAAATTGCTACAGCAGCTTTCCACAACTGTCAGACCTTGGATCTGAGTTTCCAGCTGAGAGATCTCTTTTTTAATCTCTAGTTCTTTGCCATCCAATGTCTGCTGAAGACGAAGGTTGGCAGCTTTCTCTTCCTCACACTGCAGCTGGACTTCCTTGATCCGGAAATCACATGTGCTCTGGATGTTCACTAGTTTCTTCTCAAAGCCATCCAGGAGCTCCACTCGCAGGTTGTTAAGCCTGCTGTCCACATAGTCTTCTAGCATGTCAATGGAAGTAAGGGGTGAAGGTCGGGCTGATTCCAAGAGGTGTTTGATTTGTCCATCATGGTCTAGGACTATACCATGCACCTCTTCCAGAAGGTCAGTCTTGGTTTTCAGCACATCACTCACTTCAGTCACTTTGCTTAAGATCTCACCCACAGGTGGATAAGGAGAAAGGTCAGCTTTGTCTGCTGCATCCACAATCCCATCAGGAATTACTCCAAATCCCATAGTTGAATCAGGTACAGTAGGGCTGTTTATCAGGGATCCAATCATCTTACTGGTGTCCTCCTGGATGGCAAGCCGCAAATGATCTCCCAGGCCACTAACCATGCTATGCAGACTGTCATAGGACTGGGAGAGACGCCTGACATCCTCTTCTAACCGGTCCAGTCTGTCGCCAAACAAACTAGGCATTTTGCGTCCTATGAGCAGGGAGAAATAACCACAAATCATTATCAATATGACCATTTCCCTATTGCAGGTCATGTTCAGACAAAAGCTTCTTAAATATTTCAGTTCATCATGAGTGAAGAAAGTTATCTATAAAATGATTTTGCAGTCATATAAACATCCTGTATCCAAAATGATCTATAATTGCAGAAAAAGGAAAGGGAAGTACACCTGAAATTATAGGGTATATATTACATACGAATCTAAAAACACACCCAAAAGGACATGAAATACTACTAAATAGATGATATGAGCTGTAATTATGGCCCCATCTACACTGCCAGACAATATAGTGTAGCACTCGCATTAGCCTAGGGTGTTCAAAGGACATCATTGAAAAGACTGTAAAATTTTTGAACCAAACTTAACCATTATCATAAATAAAAGCTTTACTACTCACCATAGTGGTTCTTCTTTGGTCCCGGAAAGGGTTCTGCATGGATTTTGGGATGAGGAGGAGGAACTCGGGCAGCTGGGAACATTTTATGAGTGGGAGGCAATTTAGGACTGGGATGCTGTGGCAGAAGCCCTGGCTGGTCAGTGGGACTGTCATGGCATCCTTCTCCCATGAGGCCTGGACAGCACCTCCATGCTATTTCAGTCACTGTCTTGTAGCCAATCTTGTATGTGGGTCTGAAGAATGTACGATACCTAGTTGCAAAGGAGGTACAACAAAATTAGAAACTGAATGTGTGGGTCCAAATGCCTCTAACATCAAGATTCCTGCGTGGTCACAATATTGTTGGGAAAGTAATTTTTGAACTACATATCCCAGAATCTCCATACCAAGCATGGTCATATCTGAAGAACTGTCAACATGCATATAAACTCTCTGCAACCAATAGAATTTCATGCTTATAGGAACTGGTAGACCATTCCTCTTTATGGAATGGTCTAACTCAGCCTACATAAATATCTATCTACTTTACTATCTACTTTTAAATGGGCCTTAAGAATTTGATTGTTCCAGGCTATTTTAATTGAATGTAGGTTTTATATATGTAGTTGTTCAATCAATTATTTAATTTATCTAGTTTATTTAAAAGTTCTTTTAATATTTTTTTCTGAGAGTTGCAGTCCAACAACATGTGAAGGAATGTATAATTCTAACCTTTGACCTATATCTTTTTGTGGAAAGGGATCATATGTCTCTCAAGCCTAAACCAACATTTTCAATTAATATTTAAGACATTGTCTTCAGCACTAGATGGCAGCAGCTGTCCACACAGAGAGCATGCCTTGTCTGAACTGCCACTCATATGCCTGGGCAATATGGTAAGGGCAATATTTTATGAACTCTTAAAAAGTACAACAGTATTACTTCAGCATCCATGCTACATGTAACAAAGACTTCGATTGAAACAAACAGTGTTTGCATCTGTAATGAAATGGGTAATATTCCACAAACACTAGTTGTCTCATAAAGTTGTCATTCTGTAAGGTATCATACGTCTTTTTTTTTTTTTTTGCAGGACACTAATACACCTACCCTTTGGAAATCCAGTACATGGCTTATGGACCAAGTGGAAGTCTCACCTCCAAATAAGCAGTGACTTTTTATGATGAGCATGTCCATATCTATCCCTGCAATCACAAATTATGAGCCAGAGCTCAAGTACATTCCTTTTTAGGAATTCTAGGAACTGTAGGCCAAGAAAGGACCTTCCCAAGTTCTGTGATCCCAGGCTTTGAGACAGTCATCATCACTTGAATCCCACAGACAAGGGCTTTGGTATCAATTAAACTTTAGAGACCTCACTGTATTCCTGAAAAGCGAGCTCACACATATTGCTGCCAGCCCTTAAATAGTAAGCTATAAAGTGTGGTGTTACAAACACACCGGTAACCTGAGCATATTTGTACTGAAACCCATGTTTAGTGAAATTCCTGGTAAATGCATAAGTTTAAGATGGCTTCATTTGTGATTCATGATATGTGTATTATAAAGTTCACAGTTTTGGACTAGGAGATCCCATTCCAAATCCAATGAGTCATAAAATTAACTGGTCACCTTGTACCAGCCACCCTTGTTTAGCCTTTTCCACATTAGAAGAGCTTGTCAAACAAAAGACAGGATTCAAATGTTGAAAATAATGATAAACAAATCTACAGAAAAATAAATAAGTTCTAAAAGATACACATATCTTTATTCATGTATGCCTCTCAGATAAACATTGCAAAAATTCAGTTCTGTAGATCCGTTATATAACAGGTTGTGGTTTGGTATGCACATATGAGCTGAGCAGTGTGTATAAGGTCATGAAATAAGGCAATTATGTGGTTGGTGAACAAGATTCCAAAAGCTAGATTTTCAGAGCCAGCTTATACTATGATTCTTTGTTATTACACCAACATATTTCATACTATTAAGTATTCCCTGTGTACATTTTTAACATCTCAACAAGGCTAACAGTAATCCTCTAGAAAATGTGGATTAGGCTGGACATAGTCCTGGTTGGATTCACAGCATTTCCTTCTTTTTTGGTAATTAAGTGTAGCTGCTTCATGTCAGAATTAACTACTTGTATTCTTTGCTGCATCCCAAAGGCACCGTGGCTTGGCTTGACCCTCTATGGCTCAGTGCTGTTTTCCCAATAAGAACTATCCTCTAAAGTAGCTTTTCTAAAATGGGCAACTCCTATTATTCCCAACCGGCACAGTCATGTCTAAATGGCACTTGCTACCCCAAGGCATGATTTTGGAAAACTCACATTTGGGGGAGATTAAAACTCCTGGGACATCTTGTTAATCACATGTGTTGTACATGCATGTATACCAGGCTCTTCATATGTGCTGCAGTTTGGTTCCAGGATTCCCTGTGTACACCAAAATCCATGGATGCTCGTGTTCAATCCCATACATACATACAATGATGCTATAGCAAAATAGTGTGCCTTATATAAAATGGCAAAATCAATGTTTGCTTTTCGGATATTTAAAAAATACTTTCAAACTGTGGATGGTTGAATCTATGGATAAAAATCTGTGGAGATGGAGGGCTAACTGAATGTCACATTTTGGACAGAAAACGAGGGTGGGAAGTCCTGCTCTTTATGCCTTTGCTCTCATTGAAAATATCTCACCCAGGAGTTGGCAAGTCCAGGGCAGAGAAGGCTCTATTGGATCCGATGACTGGTGTGGAAGGGAGGAAGCAATTCAGATGATGATGATACAATTGGTCTGTGCTCTTGGGTGGAGTAAAAGAAAGGTGCAAAGCATCTCTGAGTGCATCCTCATTTCTTCCCAAGCTGAGGCTGGCTCCTTTTTTCTTTGCCTGAATTATCTCATCACCCTGCCCATGAAGTCCTAGTGGTTAGCAGTAGCTGCTGCCATGTCCAACTGTTTGGGCAAAATGAAGGCAGAGAACTTCATGGGAAGACCATTTTTCTACACCTGCTTGGTACAGGATCTATCTCAGTCCCTGAATTTTCCCAGTAACAGCTTGTGCTACTTGGTCAATTTTTGGATTTGTAGTCTCTAAAATAATTTCCAAGCTCTTCTTTCATCCATCAGACTTTGTCTAAGGTGTCTCCCCTATTGCATAAGTTCAGTCCCTGTATCTCTGCTGAGCAACCACTTTCAGCTTTGTCCTGGATGTGTTTTCCTGTTATTTTTCCAGTGAGCCACTGGACGTTGGAGCAGGCTTTTGTTCTGGCAGGCTCCATTTTGGACCATTGCCTCAGAGCTGTGTGCTGTACCAAAACCTGCCATGAGATTCTGCTCTTCTAAATTTTGCTTGAATTGGTATGAGTAGGAAGGGAGGCTGCAGGTCTTTATAGATAATTCCTCCCTGAAGAAGCCACCAAACTGCTGGGCAGTTGTAAAACAAAAATAACTGTGCTGCACAAAACCTGTTTGAGAAAAAGCCAAGTCCGGAGAAAGCTTGCCCAGCACAGACATCTACAACAACACTGGCATAGGAACCCTCCTCACCTCAACTCTCTGCAGACATTTGGGCCTCTGCCTGCCTCTCTCTTTCTCTTGGCTGAAACTCAGGGTTGTAAAAAGAGCAGGAATTCATTTATTTATTTTCTTTCGGGTTAAAGTGGGGAAGTCATTGGCATCAGGGCACTTCTGCTGTGCCATGTTTCCCTGAAGTGTTGCTGCTTCCAGTCGAAAACGACAGACTACTTCTTTTTTGGAGGAGGGGAGTGCTTTCAAAGTGCAAAAAACTCACTCCACATGTCAGCAACAGGAAGTATTTATTGCAGCTGGATAAACAGTTACTAGTGGCCCCAGTGGCTGGAAAAATTACATCTATTTCTCAGTTTTCCAAGCCATGTAGAAAAGTTCATCTGGCAAGATTGGCTTTGTTTGGAAAGCATTGTGCTTTTTTTTTTTTTGACCCCTGCACTTGTTATGAAAAGATGGGGAGGCAAGGCCTGTTATTTCTTTCTTCAGTAATTGGATAGTTAATTGAGATTATAGTAGACAAGCTACTGTCCTGAACTGGAGAGAATAGGCTATTAGCATGTTCACAAGCAGCCAGCCAAAGAGCTTGCATTAGTTTTCTAAAGGCATATCTCCATGCGTAAGGTGGGCTATCTGAACACATTTCTCTATGTGAAAATGTCCTTTCTTTGAAGAACTCCCCACTCCAAAGTCAATTGTAAATAAAGACCACCAGTTTCTCTCCAGGCACAATTCCAAGTGCTGATTATGACCTATAAAACTCTATAGATCTCAGGTCTAGTCAATCTAAAGGATCGTGCCATCCCATATGAACCTTCAATGATCTTCAAGACTATCTGTCTTACCTCCTTCAGAGTCATGTTTGTGGAAATGTAGGAAAGGGCTTCCTTTCTGGCAGCTCTCAGACTTTGGAACTCCCTCCCTAGCAATGTTAGAATGGCCTTTTCTTTGCTGTCTTACTGGCAGCAGGTGAAGATGTTTCTAGTCCAGGAAGTCTTTGGGAATTGATAGTTAACAAGAACAGAGTTTTTTAGGATGCTATTTTTAGTCCTTATCTCAAAGGGTTTTAATTCTGAGGTTAGTTCAATGCTGTTTTAATCTCTCTTTTTGGATGCTTTTACATTTTTAACTGCCATTTTCTGTCTAATGTGACCACCTGGATCTCACTTGGGAAAAGGTGGCATATAAATAATGCAGAGGGATAAAAAACAAAAAGCAAAAGGAGGTAGAATAACTGGAGTCTTGCACTTGCCCTTGAGCATTTGGCATCTAAACTAAGCAGACTGGGCAGTCCCAGAGGTCACTTGGCCACAGACCTTAAAATGAGGCAATTTGAAGAGGTCAGAAATGAGATCAAGCATTGGCCTGGATTGCATATCATGTGCTTCAAGTCGTCATTCCTATTAAGCTGTTATTTTCATAGGCCGCAGGCAGAATGACTGTTGTATTTTTCAGCTGCAGATTTCTAGATCTTTTAAAAATGAAATTACCATGCTTGTTCAGAAGTAAATCCCATTCATTTCAGTACAGCATCTTTATAGTTTTGCACTTAGCCAAAGAATACACTTCCTAATATGCCATTAGATCCTATGCACAGTTACTAAAATGTCAATCCCATCAAAATAAAAAAAACCCACTGGTGCTTTCCTTATATTGAAAGCTGTGCTCTTGTGAATGAATTCTTTGGAAGCTGGTAGAAGTTGATAACCAAACATGCTTAAGATTAGGCTGCCCAACAG